GAATCTTCATGCTTCAGTTGTATGGAGCTTTATGTATTCACAGGGTTGTACGTGTCCAGATATTGCGTATATTGTTGGGATGTTAAGGAGATATTTAAGCAATCGGGGTATAGATCATTAAACAACAGTCAAACATGTTATGCGGTATCTTCATATAATAAAAGACTACATGCTCGCATACAAGAGGTCAGATCAGTTGGAGATCATTGATTATTTTAATTCTGATTTTATCAGATATCAAGATAACAGAAAATCCACATCAAGTTATATCTATTTGCTTAAGGAACTATTTCTTGAAAGAGTGTTAAGCAAACACTCGTAGCCTCTTCCACTATGGCAATAGATTTTATACCCTGTTATGAGATATCCAATCATGGAATATGGCCGCGAAATTATCACTAGACTTTGCATTGTTGATGGCATAGGAAGACCATTAAAGTTATTTTATGACAATAAGTCTGTAGTTATGTATTCCAACAACAATAGGAGTTCGACGAAATCAAAGCATATAGATATCAAATTCTTAGTTGTTAAAGAAAAAGTTCAAAGTAAACAGATATCAATAGAGCACATTGAGACGAACTTCGTGGTTGCGAATTCGCTTATAAAGGAATTACTACCTAAGGTCTTTCATAAGCACATTACTCGTATGGTGTAATATCTCTTAATAATGTATAGTTTCAGTGTGAGTTTTGTAACATAGTTATTTTTATGATACAGACATTGCATAAACTTTGTAATTTAGATTTGGTTTATGGATTTCATATTTCATTTCAATTATAATATTTTGGTTTATGTTTATATTTTATCTCTAAATTTTTTTACAGTTAATCTTATTTAAGTTAAGCCATGACCAGTTGAAAGTAGGCATACTTAGATCATATAGCATATAATTTTCATGTTGCACATCCATACTTGATCCATATCATTCGATAGATTGATATACATGACCATTGATGGATTTAGTTACGATAGTTGTAGCGAAAATCGCTTTGATGCTATGTAGTTATGATCGATGAACGAGATTATTTGATGATGTATTTAGGCATTGATTATAAAGTTTTAAGTACTCCTATAGTTGTTTAATGCACAAGTTAAGGTAATACATAAAGTCCAAGTGAAAGATTGTTAGATTTTTTATCAACAAGTAGACTTCATATGGGCCTTAGTATGCGTAATAGGCTATCAGTTTATTGTGTCTGTTTAAAAGTGATCAATTACAGTTAAACAGTTATGGATCTTAATGCATTGGGTTTAAGTATGGAATTGAAATATGTGTAGACACTATATTTATAATTTCTCAATTTATGACGAATAAAATGAGAAATAACAAAAGTAGACAATATAAAAAGCGGTTATGGTCCTCAAATCACACGTGTGTTTTGTTTATTTTCTATTATCTCGTCAGCAGTGAAAATTAGTATTTTACAGTCATGTATTAATTTGAAAGATCTACCACAGGACACGAAGATCTCTTTTATTATGAATTCATATACACTTCCGTGTTCATGCTCTTTGACTTAATGCAAGTCTGTTTATTATTTTTCAGATTTAATTTGATTTGATTTCTATCACTTTATGCACTTAACATTCAACAATTTTAGCTTGTATTATGTTGGATAACTCTTACTTTCAATATTAGTAACTCTTACTTTTAACGAGTCTACTATATTTATTTTATATAATTTTATACACTTAACATTGTTAGTCATCTTCAACTTATAGTTTTTTTAATGAATTTATTAGAATATGCCTTAAGCATCCTTTTATGTTTGATTATTGTATTTTGACTTAAAACACCCTTCAACTTTCCTCATGCTCCCTAGACTTTCTCTATGAACTTTTTTACCTTCCCTTTTGCTCTCTTTAACCTTTTATTAATTATATATATATTTGAATGTTACACATTTTTCATCTTTATTCAACTATTACAATCACTCGAATCACTTACCTATTTAGTGGTGGTGTTTAATCCCTTAACTTTTTTTTATTATAAACTACTTAAGTATTAGAAATAAAGATTCTTAAGGATGAACATTTACTTTTATTATAATTTATAATAACCATCATCAAATAAATATCTAAATAACCTCATAAATGAAGTCTTGTATAAGAGAAAATTTTAATAACTTATTATTGGCTTGGGTAAACTGTTATGATAAAAGACTCTCTTTATTAAGCACTTGACTTACATACAATTCAACATCAACAGACACAACATGTGACATTTAGAGTTGTAAATAATGCATTATAATTGACTTGTTGACATTTTTCCTTCACGGTTGAGATACGTCAACCAGCCAATTACTAGTCTACTCCAACCCTTGCCGCTTTAATTTGCAGCAACAACGGCATTTATTACACTTAATGATGTGCCTGTATATATGCATATATATATATATATAGAAAATCTATGCACACACGTATTGCCCTCCAGCTTGATCACAGTAAGTAGCATAATTACACTTGTCTTTCTCAGTTCAATTTACTTATTATAATCCTAAACTTGTTTTTATGGTTAATTATAACGTTAATTATAATTAATCCCAAATTCTGGTATTCAACATCAAGATTGTGCCCGTTAAATGGTCTTAATTTGAGCTAAATAACATGAACAAACCTTATAAAACATAGTCTAAGAGGATGTAAGGTACAGTAAATTCAATTATTTAAAACAAAGTGCCAAATTACCAACCAACCAAACTTTTTCTTTCTTGATAAATTTACATAACTTATATCTTTTTAATTATTTTAAAATTAATTTATCAATAATTTTCTACGCTCAAATCATTAATAAAAACTAAGGTACTATAATCTTTTCAAATTCTTTAATCATCGAGATAGTACATATTCTGATATAATTGATAGTACTTCGAACCCAAATACAAATAACTCAATAATTTTTGGTATTCAAACAAATCGGTTCTTAAAAATTCAAACTCAAGTTATTAGTAGTATGATATTTGAATCATCATATAAAACTCGACAATCATATATTTTTTTAATGAAATATTAAAATATCTATTTACGTTAAAATTAATAATTTAATTTAAGTAAGAGAATAATTTTTTTTTAATATTTAGCGTTTTAAGGTTAAAACTTAAAGGATCAAAAAAAAAAATCTGATCAAAATTAGCTCATCTTTATTAAGCTGTAAGATTTTCAGAACATTAATTAGTTCTCCATATATGTAGTAGGTTTATCCAAGATTCAAACTCCACAAGCAATCGAGCCAGCTTCTTGATTATACATTATAACTTTATACATGTCTATATTTTGTATTGAATGAAAATGTAGATGTTGGGAGTATAGTTAATGCATGGAAAGTGATGATGTAGGCTATTTCCTTCTTACAACACGCCCAAACAACTTGGCCGACCATAACTACATATGTCTTAACCTGGCTTTTTTGCAAAACTCTGCACATGCAACTCTCTCATGATTCCAACTCATGATTTTCCAATGCCGCACTGCATTTACAATCCCAACTACCAGATCATCTTCCTAGTTGTTTCAGGCCATTCAATTCACTTAAAAAAAATCTGTTTACCATATATACATATATATATATACACAAACACACATATGTAAAGCTGTATGTCTTGAATGCTATCTTACCTACTCTTTTTCATTAATGACCCATCTCAACTTCCATCTTCCCAACACTACTTTTTTCCTTTGTTTTATAAAGTGTTGAATCTGAAGCCATAACAAGCTGCAGAGGGTTAACTTGTTAAGAGAGATTATGGAGAAATTATTCCTGGTTTTAGCATTATTTGCAATTGCATACAGCAATGTATATGCACAAGACTCAGCTACTCTTGTTCCTGCAATCATAACATTTGGTGATTCTGCGGTGGATGTCGGTAACAATGACTATCTCCCCACTCTTTTCAAGGCTAATTACCCTCCTTATGGAAGAGACTTTGTCAATCATGAAGCTACAGGAAGGTTCTGCAATGGAAAATTAGCCACAGATATAACTGGTAGATATCACTTTACTCATGAATATCCGTGTGTTAAATTTAACACTACTTACAATTCAAACTTAATCTGATTCCATATCTTGTTTCTCAGCTGAAACTCTTGGCTTCAAGACCTTCCCTCCAGCTTACCTTAGCCCGCAAGCTTCCGGCAGCAACCTTCTTATTGGAGCTAATTTCGCTTCTGCTGCATCTGGTTATGATGACAGAACAGCAATCCTCAATGTAACAATTTTAGTTTACCTTCTCATATACTGATATGTGTATATATGTGTTAGTTGTTCTTGTCATTCTAATGATACTAATTTAAACGTTGTATTAAATTGCAGCATGCCATCCCCTTGTCTCAGCAGTTACAGTATTACAAGGATTACAAGACTAAGCTAGCACAAGTAGCCGGTAACCAGAAAGCAACATCTATCATCAATGGTGCACTGTATCTATTGAGTGCAGGCAGCAGTGATTTTCTGCAGAATTATTATGTTAATCCTCTACTCAACAAAGTTTATACTCCAGATCAATATGGGTCTTATCTTGTTAATGTATTCACAAGCTTTGTGAAGGTAATTTAGTTGCCATTGTTTAATTATAGTCAACCACTGAATGTAGTTGGTCTAAAATGATGCTTTTACCAATAGGATTTGTACGGTTGTGGCGCTAGAAGAATTGGGGTTACTTCACTTCCACCATTAGGTTGCCTTCCTGCAGCAATCACCTTGTTTGGATTCCAACAAAAGGGATGTGTTTCAAATATCAATTCGAATGCTCAGCAATTTAACAAGAAAATCACATCTGCTGTAGCAAGCTTGCAGAAGCAACTATCTGGTCTTAAAATTGTGGTTTTCGATATCTACAAGCCACTTTTCGATGTCATCCAATCTCCTTCAAAATTCGGTAATTAGTCAACCACTCCACTCTTTTTGCTCTTAACTATACATGATAAACAACTAATCTTAACTCTTACCATAATGTTTTGGCAGGTTTTGTGGAAGCAAGGAGAGGATGTTGTGGAACAGGGACTGTAGAGACAACCTCATTTTTGTGCAATCCGAAGACACCCGGAACATGTTCAAACGCCACTCAGTATGTATTCTGGGACAGTGTTCATCCATCCGAGGCAGCCAATCAGGTTCTTGCAGATTCTTTGCTCTTCCAAGGTCTCTCCCTTATATGATAATACTGGAGGATAGACTTTACTTTACTTTCGTAAACTGTTGTAATCACATTTTATTGTGAAAAGCTCAAGTGTGTTTGTACTATTACTACTTTTTAAACTACCATCTACATGATTAAGTGATAATATGCTCGAGACTTCTATCTGTTTTCTATCCGCTATTCGATCATGGATATTCATTTCTTAAATTCAACTTCTTCTTTCCTGTATGATTGTTGGTATTGAACAAAGAAGGGAAGAGAATAAGTACATTCAAAATCATGAAAATGGCCTAAAAACAGAAGTGATTCTTTGCTTACCACATTAATAATTCTACAAAAGCATATAACTTGATTTTAAAATGCCCACGATTCAGAGCTCCAGCAGCTGTAATATACTCTGCTTTAGCTGCGGGTAGAGAAATTGTTTTTTGTTTCCTTGAGTTCCAGCTAAATGAACTAGAACTAATGTGAAATGCATAACTTGAGATGCTCTTAATATCATCTGGTGAGTCACCCAGATCACTGCCACAGGTGACAACTAAGTTAACAGCTGCACCCCTTTTAACCTAGAGTCAAACTCAAGAAATCCTTGAATATACCTTACCATTATCTTAGCGGTCCTGAAATGAAACTTCCTAGGACTTTGCCCGAATCTGGAAAGCTAGCTTGTCGTAAACATGATATCTCGTCTTTTAGCTGTTGAGTATTAGCAAATACCCCACTACGCTTCTGTAAACTCCAGCTTCTATCTTCTTTCTTGGTTTTTTCCTCTTTGCTCTCAAACTTCTTTAAAACTTCCTTGGTCTACTTTTCTTGGAAAACGAACAGTCCTTCATCTTCTTGATGAACCTCCGTACCGAGAAAATAAAACACATTTAACTTCATTTGCTTTCTTTGCAACTCCCTAATTTGTTTCCTTTATAACATTCTGATTTATTTTTTTTAATACCCTAATTTACTTCCTCTTTAAAATCTTAATTTACTTATTCTTTAACATTTTAATTTTTTTTTCATGCCTTAATTTACTTCTTTTTTAACTCTCTCTCTCTCTCGTATTGAGGAATAGATGTCGTCCATTCTTAGCTTGCCAACAAGAGCGTGGAATGTTGGATTGTGTACGCCTTTACTTAACACGTCTGAAAGCTGAAAGTTAATGGGCATATATGGTATTTATATTAAGCCGCTATCAAATTTTTGTTCAATAAAATATATATCAATCTCAAAGTGTTTGGTCGAATCGTGTTGCATTAGATTTTGTGATACTTGTTACTGACTTGTTATCAAAGTATAGAAGCATAAAAAATTTTCACTTGATTCTAAGGTATTCCAAATTATGTTTATCAATAGTGGTTGACGTATCCCTTGTCATTATCTAAAACTCCGATTTTGTACTTAATTTCGTAATTACATTTTATTTCTTACTTCTTTAGGTGCTAGGTTGCTACCAAGAAAGGTACAATAGCCTGTAGTAGATAGATATCTATACCGATCATGTATACTCTGCATTAATATAGACTTTTATGAATAATTTATCATTTTTCAACACAATTCATTTCATCCGGTGATTTTTTTTAAATATTGTAGTATTTTATAGGTTGATTATAGTTGTACTTCTTTCAGATTATGCATGAATTACTTTATAACACTTATTACATAAGTGGTGTTCGATATCGTATAAGATAGGAAAATCAACCTCCTGATTAATGTATGATATATTTCCTTGTCTATTTGCGTATCTTCTTTTGTCATTTTTAATCTCTTATTATGATCAATAGGTTTGCTAACTAGTTCGCACGCTACCTTGTCAGTGTCATCTTTTTTAGCATAAAAAATATGCAAAAGTATTATTAACAGACATACCAAAGGAATACCACTCATGTGCAAAATTTATAGTGTAATGAATATATGTATAATATTTCCAAAATTTTCTATCCTATAAATATCATGTCCCAACAATAAGGTCTCAAAAAAGTAAAACCACCTATCCTTGATTTTAGTAATCTCATTTTCATTACCCTCAAAAATTCTATTGTTTCTTTCTTTCCAAATAACCCGCATAATAATAAACGGAATAAGTTTTACAAAGACTTTCCCAAACCTAAATCTCATCCCTCACCGACCCTGCAATAATCCAATTAATTCCTAACAACCTGTAAATCATCGTCCATAGTTCATACACCATTGTGCACCAAAGAAGAATATGGTTACAAGATTACACAGCTTTCTTGCACCAATAACATCCACTAAACATAATTTTTCCTCTGACCATTAGCTTATCAATTGTGAGAATGCTTTTGCAACACGTCTCCAAAGAAAAGAAAGCAACTCTAGGAGGTGCATTAATTCTCTAAATCTGATGCACAGGAAAACTAGAGGCCTTTTCCTGCTCTTTTCTCAACAAGTAATTGTAGTAGGACCTAACAGTGAAGCTCCATTTTTATTCAGTTTCCACAAAATTCGGTCACTATTAGTAGTAACATGAACAATGACAAGAAGTTGAAGTAAAGTTTCATATTCTTCAACTTCCCAATTATTAAGACTCTTGTTTACATTCACGTACCATTCTCTATTGCCATTATTTTCTTTATAGGCATTTTCAATCAGCATATTCTTGGATTGTGCAATTGCATAGATTTTCAGGAACTGTCTTTTGAAGCATCTGCCATTCATCCGCTCGTCCACCCAAAACCTTACCTAATTGCCCCTATCAACCTCCAAGTAATCAGTCTTGAATCTTGTGTAGCTCCATCTAAATCCTCCTCCAAAGACCCAACACATGCAGTCTCATCCCGTGTTTCCTACCCCCCTCCTCATTCTTGTTCCCCCCACCTGGCCTCAATCACGCTCTTCCATAATTTATTGTCTTCTCTCATAAATCTCCATAACCATTTATCCTGCAAAGCCATATTCAAATCAGTCAACGATCTTAAACCCAAGCCCCCTTGCTTACTATTTAACTTCACATCCTCCCACTTCACTAAATGATATCTTCTTTTCCCATCATCATCACTCTACAAAAATTTACATTATATAGTTTCCAATCTTTTAGCAATTTTCACTGGCATCGTAAGTGTAGACATAAAATAAATGGGGAGATTGGTTAATGTACTTCCTATAAGAGTTAGCCTGTCTTTCTTAGATAACAAATTTATCTTCCAACCGACAAGTCTTCTCTTAAATAGCTTGATCACTGGTCCCACGTTCGACTATCTTTGTACTTAGCACCAACCAATATACCTAGGTATTTAATTAGTAACTTTGTTGTCTTGCAACCCAACACCCTCTCTAAAAACTCCTCGTCTCTCTTATCACCAATTCTCACCAGCTAATATTTTTACAAATTAATGTTGAGACCCAACACAGCTTGCAAACAAAGAAGAACACATCTTAAGTTCGACAATATTTTCTCATCCGGTTGACAAAAAATGAGAGTATCATCAGCGAAGAAAAGATGTGATATCTCAATTTTTCTTTCACCTCTTCCCACCCCAACACCCATCAGCAGATCCAACTCCTTTGCCCTCTCCGCTGAACAATGCAGGCTTCCATAACAACGATAAATAGAAGATGAGATAAAGGATCACCCTGATGGAGTCCCTGGAAGCCTTAAAGAAAGAAGATGGTGGGCCACTATTAACTAAAATAGCAAAAGAGGTAATGGATATACACCAACGCATCCAACTCCTCCACTTCCATCCAAACCTAATCCTCTCTAGCACATAGTCTGATTGAGAGTTTCGAGAATCTTCGATAGGAGAGAGAAAAGCATTAGCCAGTACCAGTACCTGAATAAGCAGCAGTTGTTTCGACAGCTTGAATTGGAATCTCGAATTCTCAACGGTAATCCCGCTCTATTTTCATCTCGACATGAAAAGTCAGGTCAGAGGGACTGAAAGACTCATAAAGTGTTAGTGTGTGATCCGTTCAATTTGAATAGTTTCATAATCTACTTCAAATGAAGACAATTTGAGAGCACATAGTCGACAAAGTCCCAACTAACATGACCATAATAAGTTTTTGTCATTATCTTTTAATAGATCATGAATGTATTTTTGTTGAGAAATAAATTTTCATATTTAAAGCAGATAACAATTCTCAAAAAATATTTAAGCTTGCTTAGTTTCTTGATTTCGAATTCTTTTACCAAACACTATTTTATTATTAGTTACTTATTCTCATCGCTTTCTGTTATAATAGTGATATCAACGTGTACTAAGAATATTAACTCCCCATTTTTTTAGAGTATGATGGACAAAGTGTGATCTTCTTGAGTATGTTTAAATCTTAAATCTATTTTCACATTTGTGAACCTGGCAAACCATACTCTTGATGATTATTTAAATTCATATAGCACCTTTTTAATTTACATACCTTATTTGCTCATGCTTCACTGTTAAAGCTTGGTAGGATATCCATATAATTTTTTTCTTCTAGATCTCCATATAGAATATATTTTTTATATTAAACTGTTCTAATTGCCAATCAAAATGGACAGTTGATGATAATAAGATTCATATAGTGTTTATCTTGGCTACTGTAAAAATATCTCTGATAGCTTATGCCATACGTCTGAGTATAATCTTTTACCACCAATCTCGCTTTATACTTCTTGATTGTCGCATCTATTTTATATTTAATTGAGAAGACTCATTTGCATCCCTTTGATTTTTTTGCTTCTGGGTAGATTTACCACTTCCAAGTCTAAATCTTTTCAAGTCTTTACATTTCCATATTCATAGTATTTTTCTATTTTTTACAAGACAATACTTCATATATTATTTTAGAACTAAACTCATTACTTAAACTTATGAGAAAGTTTTTATGGGTCAATGAACATTTATCAAATGATACAATTGTAAAATAGGTTATAAAGAGTGTTCGTGATTCTCTTGTACATTTGCAAAGTACAATAGGTATGTCACTATCAAAGTACTATACAAGTTTTTTGGAACTTATCTCAGTTTCAGATTCAAAGTTAGATTCTTGGACCGGGTTTGCCTCACTACTCGGCATTTTTTCCTTGTATTTGCTTGTGAAATTGTACGGTCTAGTATGATTTTTGATATGATGGATTTTGAAAATTTTCTTATGGTGATGAATTTTAGAGTAGAGTATGAGCATTCTTTTGTGCAGTGGAATTTTTTAGTGAGTTTTAAACATTTTCTTGAGGTGATGGCTTTGAAGTATGTGGAAATGGTAGTAGGTTAAAGTTTTGTTGAAAATTTTGTATTCTTATCTTCTAATATAGGCTTTCTCTTAAAATAAGATTGGTAAAAGTAAGATTTTTATTCAATAAATGTGACGTCCACATGCACAGAATTTTGGATGGAGAAATGGTAACACTTGTACTCTTTTTGAGTAAAGAATTACCTCATAAATACATATTTCAAGGTCAAAAAATCAAATTCCTTCTTTAATGGGAATAAATATGAATGAAGACAACACATTCAATATCTGAAAGACCAAATAGTTTGTGACACTTACTGTTGGATAAATCTGTTGAAGTATTTTAAGAGAACTTTTAAAATCAAGAATAGTTGTGGCTAGGCGATTAATAATATAAGTGACAGTAAATATGGTTTTATCCTAATATTGTTCTAGGACGGTTTTTAAAAAAAGAAAAGCTGTGGTAGTGGTTAAAAATTAACTATTCTTGCTTTCTACTTTTTTATTCTGTTGTAGAATTCGCACCCATGATGATTTATAAAGATTCTTTTTTTATAAAAAAAAAATGATGAAAGTGTGCGATTGAAAAAATCTTTGGTATTATCAGTACATAATTTTTTCATGGATGTTCCAAATTAGGTTTTTATTATATTACAAAAAGTAGAGTATGATATGTCTTAACATTATATTTGGTCTTAAATAAAAACAACCAGATGACACTAATGCAATCATCAATAAATAACATACACCATCAGGTTCTAGAAATATTAGGTGTGTGAGATACTCCCCAAATATTACTGTGAATTAGTAAAAATGAAACTAAACTTCTCTTATTAGTAAAAAAAAATATTATCTGTTTATGTTTTAGTTTTATGAATTCATATATATCGCAATGTAAATTTTCATATTCTAAATTTGTAAAAACAATAAAGGAAACATAATTTTTAAAATGGAGAATGATGGTTGCATAAATCTCTTATGATGGAGCCAAATTTTATGTATGGGATCAGTGGTAATGGCTGAGAAAGTTCTCTCGACTACATCTAAGTAGTAGATTCTGTGTCTACTCTCAACATGTCTAATAATTTTTTTCAAATTCTAATCATGAAAATCACGGTGAAAAGAATGAAATGTTATTTTGCATTTCAAGCCTTTTAATAAATTTACTTATTGACACAAAATTAACACATAATTTAGGAACATGTAGCACATTTTCTGAGATAGAAGTAGGAAGCTTCCCTTTTTTTCCTTTAGGATGGTTCAAATTAGATGAGATCAGCTTAAATAGTTTTTTTTTTTATTGTAAATTAATAGTCAATTTGAATTGGCTGATTCACATGTGAAACTTTTCATATGAGAATATCTTTCAGTATTTTGAGATTTTACCTCCGACATCATTTTATTTTCCGGCAATTAAGGTCCATTGAAATAGCAGCTGGAGACTATGCAGCTGGTGGTTGGTGCAGGAGGTGGCTGCATGGAGAAACTAGGGTAGAGACAGATCATGAGACAAAGCATGTGGAAACAGGGCATGATTAGTGCCGTATTATGATTTTTGGTGCACTTTTGCAGCAAATAAACCTTTCTCTCAATCTTCCAAGAGCGATAAACTCTTATATCATTTGTCGGTATTTAACAAAGAAGAGAAAGGACAAATTGGTGCAAAAAGATACTGATTTCTCATTTACTTAAAAGCTTAAGTACATGAAGAGCATAAAACTTGCTAAACGGTCTATGACAATAGAAAAATAGCCTAAAACATAAATGATCCTTCACTTGCAACCTTAACAATTCCACAAAAGTATACAAGTTACCACAAGCCACTTGTTCAACTACGACAAACTACTAACAGAAAAGTATTCGCTGGAAAATCAACAAAACAGTGGGCAAAACAGATGCTGAACAAAGGATGATAATGCAATTGTCAAGCACTAAGTGGGATCTAGTTAATAATAGCCAAACTCAGGAAAGAGGAAACTGGAAATTTCTATCCAATAGTGCACCTTGAGAAGTCGCAATTCCCTTGAAACAAGCTTTCTCGGATTTCAAAAGGACAGAGACCATGAACCAAACTTTTTGATTCACACAATACAGCTGTGCTACTAACAGCTGAAGCATTAACTGGAAGAATGACAAAACAGTGGACAAAAATGTATGCTGAACAAAGGATAACAACGGAATTGTCAAGTACTAAATGTGATCTAGTTAATAATATCTAACTCACAAGAAAGAAGAAATTGGAAATTTCTATCTACTATTGCACCTTGAATAATTGCAATTCCCTTTAAACAAGCTTTCTAGGATTTCAAAAGGCCATGGACCATGAACCAAACTTCTTGATCCACACAATACAGCTGTACTTTTGGTTTAAAATGTAAATGAGAAAACTGACTGTCAAAATCTAAAAGCTGTACAAAAAACTATTCAGTCTTAACAAAAGCTGGTGACTGGTGAAGAAAACAACAAAGAGTCAGTATCTCAAGCAAAGCCCAGATTTTGGAAAAGTAACACCAGGCTCCAAACTAATTGCTGCCTTCGCTTTTTTCTGCCCTTCAACTGTCTGTTCACCTTTTGCAGTCTTGGAATTTGGTGAATTCACATCCAACAAAGTACCGCTGCCCTTTGCTACATACCCAGTCTAGAGAGAGAATCACAAATTAATGAACAACATGACAAGAAAGACAGGACAGATTCATAGCTATAGAGGCATATCGAGAGATAATAAAAAATTTCATTCTTGCAAATTGATACCTGCAAATATACTTGTAAAGAAATCACAAACCTGAAGATTCCTAGTAAAGGGGCCAAGATTTCCTATGGCTGCCTCTCTTGCAAGGGAAGTTTCATTAGGTGTATTTCTTATGTTCTCCTTAGCAAAATTCTGAAACTCGGGAGTTCCACAATACATATTACAAGTAGAAAAACTGGAGTTAGCAAATCAAGCCTAGTAAGGGACACAAGGGGAACAAACAATCCAATAAAAAAAACCATTCTGTCTACTTAAAAGACAAAAACAGAAGTGACTGATTGTGGTAGGCTTGCTATGAGGAAGTGACAACAAAGTGCCATCTATTAGTAAAGTAACAGTCAGCATCACATATTTTGTAGAATCAGATGTCATCTGTAATTGATTCAAACAAACAAAGTTGACAACGAATCAAGAAAATCTTATTTACTTAATGCAAGGAAGGCAGAGATTACATATTGTCTGTAGACCCTATTCCAAGCATTTCCAGTGTTGGACAAGTTTTGTTCTCCTAGAACCTGTGATTTCAGAGTAATGAAAACATAAATAGCAGAAATGGGTTAATCTGATGGCAAGAAGCTAGTTGAAGAAAGATTGTTGAAATCCTTACGTATGAACCAGAAGTTTGGTAAATTGGCATATATCTAACACCTGCATTTGCACCAGAACTTTGATGAACAATTTGGTTGTGCAGCAAGGGGAAGGGCTGCCGCGGGATATGGAACACAGGAGAGTAAGGAGAGTAACTGAAGTAAAATGGGTGGAGCTGATTAGTGATCTCATCAGGGCTTAGAGGGTATGAAGAATACTGCATGGGCTGGGAGGCATAAGTGTTCTGATATTTCTTGATTCTATCTTCTTTTCGCTGTGCCATTCCTACATGCAGTATCTTCCCTTCAAAGAAAGCCCCTGCAGAAACAACAACAAAAAAAGATTCCTTACCAAAGAAATAAATTAAGTCAAATACACAGAAAAGAGCCAGAGCAAAAAAACTCATCCTACCATTAAGCTTATCCAAAGCCTCTTTTGCTTCCTCAGGACTAGAGAAACACACAAAAGCAAATTTCTTACTCCTCCCACTTTCACAGCGCATAATTTTTGCAGATTTTACCATTCCATAGCATCCAAAGAGTTCTCTCAATCTTTCTTCATCCACGGATTCACTCAGGTTACTCACGTACAGTTTTGAGGTCTCCAACTTCTTCAAACGGCTGCCAACCATCTCCTTGTATTTTTGTTTTAGGATCTCAGTCCTCTCAGATTTCTTTTGAGCCCTTCCCACAAATAAAATCTTTGACCCTAATTTTCACTCATTTGTTTTTATTAAATAGACCAAAACCAGAATAATCTTTTGTAGTTAGGAAAACAGAGATGAGCATGAAAGATGTTTACCAAGCTCTATACCGTTCATGGCTTCAACAGCCTTCTTTGCCTCATCTGGTGACTTAAAGCTCACAAACCCAAACCCTCTGGATCTTCCATGGCTATCCTTCATGATCATAGCATTTTGAACTGCCCCATGTGCAGAAAATGTTTTTGCAAGGAGATCATCTGTTACATCGTCCCCAACGTTTTTCACATAAAGGTTGGTGAATGGTGGTTCTCCACAAAAAACAGTCCTGTCACTCTTCTTGACAAATTTAGACACGTATCTGAGAGCAAATGGGCTAAATGAGTAAGTTATTATAGGAACAGTGGTAATAAATAGCCATATGTCTTGACTTATATCATGTTTTTTCATGTAAATTATAAACATTGAAGAAACCAGTAATATGAAACTTAAGACGTAAAAAGACCTAATCTAATTTTACATATAACATAAACAAATGAAACAAGATCAAATATTGATCATTGAAAGGAGTGTAAGAAGAAACTCCTATATTAACATTTCAAAGTGAAGATATTACTGGAAGAAGTTCACAACCACAAATATAAAATGAACTGATGGATAGTCCAAACAGCATGGGAGAGGTTAAAGAAGGGTTAGAAAACGAACAGAAGAGACAGACGACTCACATCTTCTTCCCTTCAACAATTGTATCATGGAGAGCTGTTTGAGCAGTCAAAGCCGAGTCCTCAGAATCAAACTGGACAAATCCATAGCCTTTACCTTTCCCCTTTTCTTGGGGTACCTTGCATGAAATTATATTCCCATAGGGGCAGAAGATATCCTGCAAGTTAGCACTATTGATTGAAGGATCAAGGTTTTTCACAAACAGATTGGCGACACCACTCTTTCTTTGGGAAGGATCCCTTTGAGACCACATTATCCTTATGGGTTTTCCCTTCAACTCCGTGTGGTTTAGAAAAGCCAGAGCTTTGCATGCTGAGCAAAAACTAGCAAAAACTAAGTTACAAATTATATATAAATGACAGGTCGAGCTGACTAAAATTCATTCCCACCAGTATAAAAACTAATGTAAGTATCTCTTTACGCCATTCACCTGCTATGTTTAACCACAAAAGAATTGAAAAAGTCTCATCCACTATGGTCAATTTGCTTCTATTTATAAAGGAAATAAATAAATAAAAAGATCAGTACAAACTGATGAGAAGAAAGAAGAGAAAGAATTACCCTTCAAGGGTAAAATCCATTTTCCCTTCATTTTCTTACCACTGAAAAAATGTTAAACTGACATGAAAAGAATACATTAAGCGGAGAAATAAAAGCAGCCAAAGAATTCGAAGGATTATCTAGAGATAAAGAAATCAAAACGATAGTCTTTGCGATAAAGAAAGCCCTAGAAATTTGCGAAGAGAGAAGAGAGAGAAATAACAGAGACTGAATTTCCCAAAGCATGACCACAAAGCCATTTGGGGTATGTACATTTGGGTTATATATATCGACACATGTACATTAACCCTTTATACAACTTAATGAAAATGCATATGTTTTATATCTGTTCGCACTCAAAATCTAGCTTCCTGCCTTAAATTCTCATGATTAAGGACGAAAAAACACAGATTGAAAGAACACCGGTTTAGTTACACATCAAGAAGTAAGACCACCAAGAAAAAAGAAAACAAGCTCAGAAACGCCGAACACCCTAGACAAATAAACGTATAGAGGTATATCAAAAAACAGAGTAGGTCTGTTAACTCTGCTACACCATTACCATGAGAGTAGGAGTTGAAGTTGACATAACCATATCGGAGAGATCGACCCGTGACAGCGCAACGGCAGATACGAACTGAAGCGACGGGTACCGTGGAGGAGAACTTATGCCAGAGATCAATTTCGGTGACATTAGGGTCCAGATCACCCACATAGAGCGAAGCTCTCTGGTAAAGAGGATTGCAGCCCACCGGTGCAGGTAGAAGCACGGGTGGGATTACTTGTTGCTTCTCTTGCAATGAATGTTGCGGCTGTAGTGCCGCCATTTTCTTGGTCTGGAAACTCAAAAACCAAACCCAGAGGAGGTGGAGGATTTAGAGAGACAAGGGAGATGGAAGAAAGCAGTTTACAATTTTCATTTTTCTTCTTCTTCGGTTTGTTATAACGGCGAGGTGGTGGGTCTGTGCTGTACGTTAAAATTAATTTGCAGAGAGGGAGTGGGCTTTTGCAGGGAGGTATCACCTTCTTTGAGTAGCTAAATATCTTACTCGCTTTTTCTGCTCGCCACGTTTTCGATTAAAATTTGGCGCGCATTTTAAATGACAAAGACGATGTCGTTTTGGCCTTTTCATTGTGTTTGAGTGCTAGTGCGCGTAGGGTATACTCGCGCTGACTTGGACATGCATGTAATAGGACGGACTTTGCTTACACCTGCATTTTGCATGCGTCAGCTGTATTTACTTATAAATATGGACCTACCATAGCGTA